TTTTTTTTTTTGGAAATGTAATGAAATTTGTAATTAAATACATTTTTGACGAAGTATTTTGTATTTGTATTTGGATACATATTTGCACGTATTTTGCTCATCCCTTGCTGAAACTAAGAATGGCCGTCTTGTAGTCACAGATTATCGTGCGTAACGACTTGGACGCGTGGTTCAGGGCCAGGCCCATTGCAGCTTCCTCCGCTCTGGTGGGGGAATCCTCCTTGACTGAGGCCATCACTACAATGCGCCCTGGTTCATCCACCACGGCCAGGGCATAGCGGTCCCGGTGTTCTCTGTAGTTGGCCGCGTCTACGAAGTATACGTCGGGACGCCCAGCGTACAGCTTGTGAAGGGCCTCCGCTCGGGCTTTGCGGCGTTGAACATGGAAGGTCAAGTTCATGTTGCTGGGTAAGGGTGGGATCCTGAGCCGAGATCTAATTTCGGTTGGTATCGGCATGGTTAGAGATGCGGTATTTAGAGGTGGGAGTATGCCGAGCGTTTCGAGAACCGCTCGTCTGGTTTTGGTGCCCGCCAGGTGCAGCATCTGAGCAGAGCGGTGCGCCTCAAGTAGCTCGCGTCTACTATGTTGTGTAGTCCTAGAGTCATGAGGCGGACAGTAAGTGTTTAGGGGGCCAGGCTCAGTGCCGATTTGCACGCCGACCGGAGAAGCAGATTGCAGTTGTCCCTGTAGGTCTTTCCTAATTGTAGATACGGCAAGGAGTATAGGAAGTGGGACTCCACGAAAGCTTTGATGAGTCTCACAATGTCTGCTTCTTTTACTCCTCCGCGCTTGTTGGATATCCGCCTGATGAGTCGAAAAGTCTGGTGGGTGATCGAGTGTAATTTTAGCATTACGTCCGTATTTGGTTTGAAGCAATGAAAATTTAAGCCCAGTATTCGAATGGGTCTGACCCCCGGTATGGGTTGGTCGCCTACCCTCAGGTCCAATCGCTGTACTGAGCGTTCTGTGTCCGTGAGACCTGTGGTCTCCTCCTTGATTAGCTGTTCCGATTTATGCGGAGAGATGTCGAGCCCTAAATTCGCGACATATTCATATGTCTATGGCTGTCTGAAGCGTCTCCTCCATGCCCGTGTCACTGCCCTTGTTGGTCCATAGCGTGATGTCGTCTGCGTAAATAGAGTGACCGAGTATGGGTAGTGTGGCCAGCTTACTCGGGAGGTACAGCATGGCTATGTTGAAGGACATAGAGGGCAGGGCCGCTCCTTGCGGAGTGCCTCTGTCCCCTGTGAGCATGGGGTCTGACGTGTGTCCCGCGACCGAAATTTATATTGTGCGGTTTTCGACGAACGAACGCACGTACGCGAAAAAGCGTTCGCCCAGCGCCAAATTATTTATGTTGGACAGCACTGCCGCGTGCCGTATGTTGCCAAAGGCTTTGTGCAAGTCAAGCCCCACCACAACCCTTTTGTTTCGGCGCGGCTCGATTACATCCGACTGGAGTTGGAGAAGGATGTCCTGCGTCGAAAGGTGTTGGCGGAAGCCAAACATGGAATTTGGGAACAAGCCCTGATCGTCCATGTAGTCCCGAAGGCGATTGAGCACTACATGCTCCATCACCTTGCCGACGGAGGGCATGAGCGAAAGGGGTCTCAAATTATCGAGGTTGAGAGGTTTGTCAGGTTTGGGTATTTTAGTGCACCACAGTGGAGACTGAAAAGTGGTTTGTAGGCACAGAAAATAAAGAAATAATATTATTATACGAGCGAAAAAAAAGTTACCCAAAGGCAAGATACCTGCGCTCTATATGAAAAAAAAAAAAAAAAACCTTTATTGCAAGGTTTACTTATGTGTAAGGCTTCATGGGTCCTAGAAATGCCTTCGCGGGGGCCGCAGCCTTGGATTTGAGAATCACTGACCTATGCGGTTGTCATAGTCCAGCAAATGTTTTAGGACCAAATGACCCGCAGCCCAGTGTCTAGATTGGCGATTTTTGTGTTAAAGCAAAACTTTCCGCTACTCTTTTTGATTTTTGAATATAGAGTAAATAGTAACCTTAATTCCGAAATATTTGGCAAGGTCGGGCCATCGGGTACCGATGCCTCCAACTAGGCCCGACCCGAGCCCGCGCAGATCGCAACGAGTTACTCAAACTAATAGTTTGACTACCTCGTCATAATATTTCTTATGGTGGGCCGCATTGTTGGTGCACAAGGCAGAACTCACGTCTGGGCTTCAGGAACTTCATTAAATCGGACCATAGGTTAACGGACAGGCCGCGGCCGTCTTTGAGTACTGCCATGGATGGCATACGGAAGGTTCCAAAATCCGAAATATTAGTCATGGGTTTCTTCTTTCTATTCTCAGCGATTAAAACAAAATAGCAAAATGTATGACATGTCTCAAAAGTGTGAAGAGAAAACTAGCTTTCTGCCAATGCCGATATGACCAGGTGCATAAAGCCGTGTACGCCGCAATGAAAGTTTCATGCTGGCTCTTGCATAAAATGTCCTTGGAGTTTTAAAAAAAACGCAGCGAAATTGTTATATAAGCCTAAACTACTTCCATTGCAATCTAAACCTAAACTACTTTCATTGAAATTTATTGCGATATAAGCATAAGCTACTTTAATTGCAATCTTAAACCTAGGGGTGGCAAACTGCACATCGCCGACCCAGAAGGTACCTTATTATCTCCCGCTGTGATTGCTTTCGATTTAAAGCGTTCTCTGGAGATATCTTCACGCGCAAAACCCCTGCCGTACCAAGCTTAGTCCAGCCTACTTTCGAACGTACAACGTCCATGGAAGATGTTTACCTCTACATTGACGGTATTGTGAATGTCACTGATCGCCTCCCTGTAACTTCTTCGCCCGGTTCTAACATAATAATCTTTAGGCTATTAATGCTGTCTTCGGGTATATCTTCCAAATGACTACTGTTAAATTTCTAACAATTAATTCCTCGCTAGTTCTCAGCTGCCGTCTGATTGGCTGCGTGGGAACGTAATCCCAATCTTTAAATCGGGGAGTCAGAATGAGCTCACTAACGACGGGCCTATCTCATTTACTGAGTGGTTTTATGCAGAATTCTAGAGCACATCGTGTTCAGCCATAAAATATCACATTTATATAGTATGAACCTGTTCTTCTATGATGAGCATGGTTTTCGTAAGAAACTTTCTTGTATTACCCAACTATTCTAACTTACTTATGATCTTCATACCATAACTGATGCAATCTATAGATTTCTCAAATGCTTTTGATCGGGTTTCTCGTAACAGATTAGTATCTAAACTTGTTCACCTAAATGTGAATAGCAATCTTATCTCCCGGATTAAAGCTTTCCTATCTCCAGTGTCCTTGAAAGTTTTGTCCTTGGCCCGCTTCTTTTTCTGATTTATATAAACAATATTACTATTTCAATATCATCCACCGCACGATTATATGCTGACGACCATGTGCTCTACTGCAGAATTTCTTCTGTTAATGACTGCATAAAATAACAATATCATTTTAAAAAATTAAAAAGTAGTGTAATTCCCTGGTGCATGACCGATTAACCAAACAAATAAAAAAAAGAGAAGAAGGTTTTCCGTACGCTACTTTTGCCACCCAGAGCGGGAGATAACATTTAAATATTTAGCTGTGCACCTCTCCGAAGGTCTGCATTGGAGAAACAACGTTAACTGCATATGCTATAAAACTAAAAAACATTAAGCTTTCTTTTTTTTTTAAGAAGACATTTTTATTTTGCTGACACCTCTGTTCTACGTTTAGCTTACGCTGCACGAGACCGGAAAGGGTTAGAGTATGGATCCATCATATGGAACTCCCATCAAGTCTATTAAGTTAACCAATTAATAGCTGTTCAAAATGACGCCACTCGTTTTATCACTCGTAATTACTCCTGGGGTAGCACTTCCTTAAAATAGTTCATATCATTACAACCCTTGTCATTAGGATAAAAATTGACCGACTTCCTTTCATGCGCAAATTATCTTAATCCGTGGTCACATCGGACAATTTCATTCTTCTGGCTCACCATATTTCTTCTCACCTCGATCTTTTATGCAAAGTACTGATAAAATCAAAGCTAAACAAAGGGACAGACGTATACATGCTTTCATGATCTGTCCTCGTCATCCCTTTATTTAGCTTTCATTGTATTAGTATCTATATCAATACGCAAAAAGTAGAACCCATATTTTCCAGAACCAACGCATTCAAGTACTCACCCGTTCCATCAAGTGTCTCCGAATGGAACAGCCTTCCTTCAAGCTGGGTTTCAAATATTAACTGTACCCAGTTCTTACAGGAAATTGTTGCATTTCTAAAATAATGTTTTTGTGTTATGCATTTGTTTCCCAATTTTTATTACAAAATGTGCATTTGATTACCCTCCCTCCACCTTATGTAATACCTTTTTGAAACCCTTAATGTAATAAATGAAATGAAATGAAAGTAAACAATGTCCACTTCTTTTTCAAGGAACAAAGATATATATCACTGAACGATTTGTTACCCGGAAATTTTGTTAAACGCGAAAACACGTGCGCACGATGTAAACACGCATACTTGTACACTTTACTCGAAGGAAGAATTGTAAACGATTACAATTACTCTCGGTGAAAAAGTATGTCATTATATTACTTGGCTATTTGAGAAGAAAATTAATTGGACGTTAATCGAAAAAAGTAACCACCACTTTTCTTATTACTTCAGATTTTCAAAATGACAAATGTTTGCGCCGGTTTGAAAACGGGTCTTTCCTACTGTCTATTATTCGATTAGGATCACCGAATTATAAAGCGCTTATCTTCTATTCTTCCAATTTTCGTAATTCATCCTTTTCTCGAAGGAATTGGTTCGAGGATTCCTTGGTAGGTATCTTGTAGAAAGAAAGGGCGACATTAAAAACAAGGGGGAAAAACGGTAATGGTTACGAGTAATTTTAAAAACTTCTCAAACTACTCAAATTCCTCTTGTGATTACTTCCTCATAAATGTATTCAAATGATTACAAAATTAATTCAAACAGCAGTCGATTACAAGTAATTTTATTACTTGTTATGAACACCGTACAAGTCTGGGTAAACGTCAGAAAACCGCAACCAGTTCCTGTATCAATGCGTAGATTGTGACTATACAAGGAAGTAAATTCCCCAAAATTGTTTCATCACTAATGATTGCATATTCGCAATGACGGAAGACTAGTTTATAACTCACTCCTTGGGTTTGCACACTTATGAACCTAGCCACGTATGTACTAAACGGTTTGCCAGCCTGAAGATACAGGGCTTGAGTACATGACGACCTCACACCACCTGGTCATTTCCACTTGTTCTTAAAAGAGAAGACCTCGGCGGTCCGAAATATGTTGCTGCAGAAGGTACGCGTTCAGTAGTAAGACCAGCACAGTGGCGCTAATGCTACCTCATTCGAAGCCATGTACGCACTCGGTCGTCATCCACCAGTGGCTTTCGTGGGTCGTTGTTGTACGCGTACCGCCATTCCTACACGAAAGCCGGATCATGCATCTTTTTGACCGCGATGTAGTCTCCTTTTATTTTCTTGTCGTCTTCGGGTACCAAAAGGGGCAGAAAGTCCACGTAGAAGTAAACCTCAGATCCGTCGTCCTTGTCCCCGTCCACGATGACACCCCTGGTGAGAACGGTGTTCGCGCCGTAGAAGGTCTGCAGAACACAGATGCTCGCCACGGCGGCAAACGCGTAACTTAGGACGTCTTCTCCGAGGTACTCGTCGGTGATCATCCAGATGCCGCGCCAGACGGCGATGGTCGCGTACGTGGCGGCCAGGTTCCAGATGCCCTCGAAGACTCGTCTGCAGACCCGACCCAGATTACGGGATATGAAGGCGGCCAGCGGTTGGGACACGAAGAGGAGTAGAGTCACGAGGGTTCCGGAGAAGAGGGACATCCTGGCGGAGCGTTCGAGGTCATCGGGATCCTGGATGATATCCAGAAGGGACCAGAGTCCCCGCCAAGCGCTGATGAGAAGCGGCTGGAAGACCGCCACCGTCAGGACGTTGTCCCAGAAGAAAGGCCACAGGGCCTTTGAAGGCTACGAAAGAAACAAAAGACGAACGAGTACATGAAATAAACTAGAAGGCCGGGACGATCAATAGACGCCGGTTCATGCAGTTTGCGTTTGAGTGTGATCGACTGCGTTGAAACCGCTTGTAACCTCTTACGACGAAACAACGGAGCGCCATCTATTAGGCAGCTTCAGAACACCTCCGGTCTGCGCATATGTTAGCATCGTTGTAACGACGTGTGTTTGAAACAGTTGGGACGATCTTACAGGAGACTATTTTTCATAGCTTGTGCGTAGATTTGATCTCACAAATGCTGCAAAACCATCAGTCTAGCTAAACCCAGAACGGAATTTGTCCCGGGTGATAGACGACGCCAGAGTGCTCTCCAATCGCAGGCAATAGACCCCTTACGAAATGTCGAAATGATGGATGGATTATGTGCGGCCGCCATCAGTTGGTCATGTACCGTGAGCACGCATCGAACACGAGCGGTTCGTCAGCACTCCGAGTGTACTCTGATCGAAACGCATTCGACACGAGTGAGCTGCGTCAGTGCTCGGCACGAACTCCGAACCAATCACAAGCTTCACGCCGGAAGCGATCAGACCAACTAATGGCGGCCGCGCATAATCTACGCGTCGTTTCACAATATCGAAAATGGTCTTTTATTACAAGCGCATACTGTGTGCTAGGTCACACTTAAACGAAAATGTGTGAAACAACCTTCGAGGTTGGTCCAAAACACGGGAGCGTATGGTACTGGCGTCCAGCCGAGAGCAAGCTTATACGCGCGTTTAGCCACTGGCTCATACATGATACAAAAAGACGCGGTATTTGTTGCAGACATGGTGACAGGATAACCTGCGGACATGCCTCAGGGAGCTTTTCGAAGCCTGTTTGCTTCATGCATGCTTGCAACATGTCTGTCGACAGTTTTTGTATGACCGAAGTGGCCAAGGAAGAGATTCAGACAGTGTCTGCGGACTGTCTGTTATATGACGTATAAACGGAGTGACCGCAGTTTTATGGTCGCGTTGGGGTGAGGTGAGCTTGACTTGAATTGCGGAAAGCTAAACAAATTCCGCTTGAGTGCAGACATTTGTCTTCAAATAAACAGTAGTGAAGCAGCATGCAGCGACGCACTTGGGCAGTCGGGAACGGTTCGACACGGTTAAAAAATAAAAACGTACACGGAAGAAGGACAATGCAAAATTAGCAACAATCCATACACAATGGAACACCCTGTGAACGTAACGGTTTGAATGTAGGCTCTTATCTCTTGTTTGCCAGATGGTATGGACTATAAGGAAGTGCAGTGACAATTATATTTTTGACTTCATAAATTGTGTTTCTTTTTTTGTATGTTTTATGCACCCGGAAGTTAGTCAGCCCCGGCGGGCGTCATCGTGTCTCAGCTGTAGATGAGCAGTTTAGCAGGTCCGGTACAACCGCTATCCCTTTCACGTGCATCACGCCGTCGTGATACATGACCGCACGCCGGTACGGTGCTCATCCAGATCTAAACGGATTCAGTACCCACTGGACAGAGATGGCAGCGCGCAGACGATAATTATTTTACATATACGCATGCCTATAGGACGTCCTCTAACTTGACAGTAGAACTTTCACGATTACTTGTGCTTGGTTCTTTAATTAACCTCAGCTGCAAGTTCAGCGCGCATCCATCCTATTTGTACTTTGCGCAAGTTGCCGCACGTTGCCGTGCGCGCATTTTTTTACTACTGTTTCGATAAAGCATTATATAGCTTTGTTTATTGTCAGTTTGCATATTATTGTGAAAGTCATTGTCGAGGATACAGCTCTCCACCACAATGATAAAGTCGGTGGCCGAGAAAAGCTCCCCGGATAAAATCTCACCGAAAAAGCGGCACCCGCAGAGAAAAGCTCGCCGGCCTTTGAGCGGATACGAAGAAAAGCTTTACCGAAGATCTTTATCTTCCTTTACCTAGACTTTCAGATTGTGCGTCTCATATTAAGAATTTGTCGGACTACTAACTTACTAAATTAATTTGTTATTTTTCGTACTATTTTTCAAACTTGTTAAGCATATTGCTCTCAAATAAACAATCACCAAGCTTTTTTTTTTTTTTTTTTTTAATTCACGCCGCAACTATAAAACAGAACATTGAAAACAAAAAATGAAAACAAAAAATGAAAACAAAAATATTATTGGCCACTTTGATTTCACAGATCTCTTTTCATTTCGCCTCAAAAGCGAATGCAGTCACCAACTGCTTCAAAAAGTACAGGAAACTGCTTGTGCTGCAGAAAGTCATTGCAGGGGTTTCGTAGCAGGTTCTGCAGGCGGCTGGTCTGTCTCCTTGGCGTGTGGCTCTCCTCGACTGACTTGCAGCAGCGTTGTAGCGGCCACTACTTGGTCTTGCTGGAGGCATTCGAGAAGCCTCCAAACACTGGGATGGCAATGTCCAACGAGGTGCCTGAGTGCATTGTTCCACCCCTCGAACGCGTTGTTGGTGCGGTACTCGCCTTGAAGTGTAGCGTCCATCACATTTCAGGGCTCTGGAGGGTACTCAGGGCGTCAGCCGCGCACGGTTGTTGTTAATTGCTCAGCTCCTTCCGCTGTCGGAGCAGTGCGAAAAGTTCTGCTTGCGTAATGTTTGTCAAAATACGCGACTAGGTCGGCCATGTCACCAGGAGCGTGGTCGCAGATGCAGTCAAGTCCTGATCGTACGAGGTCAGGACTGGAGGCACAAATGCAAGCCCGTCAAGCGTCCCGCACAACTTCCTGAATGCGTCATCGGTCCGACAGCCTAGGTATGAGAAGAAAAGGTTTTCGACGAGCTTTTCTTCGCATCCGCTCAAAGGCCGGTGAGCTTTTCTCCGCACCTGTCGGTTTTGCCGTCCGCCTTTCTCCGGTGAGTCTTTCTCCGGTGAACTTTCCTGCGGTGTACTTTTTTCCGGGATTCGATAAAGTTGTTATACAAAACGAAATTAGGTAAAAAAAAAAAAAAAAAGACGACGACTTTGCAGAGGTGTACAGTCTGGTGATTGATTCACCCTGGAGAAATCCACCATCGTTGCTTAGGTCTAGTTCACCTCACCGTCAATGTAAGTCACTCTAGTTTAAACCCCTGTATCTCTTCTCAGTAAGAGTAGTATTACTTCATCGTAATAAAAAAACTTGTCAGGCAACAATAGAATTAATTCTTGTCTCCCTGTTGAACAACAGAGTAAATATAACCTGTTCGGAGAGAGTACGGTGCCCTGAACGCGTCTTCAATTGCTCTGTTTGGCATCCCATACCGCCGAAGCATCAGTCAAAAGGTGTCCCGAAGTGGCAACGAATAGCGTCACGGGAGCAGGCGTGTCATGCTGCCGGACATCGTGATCCTGGCGGTTGGTTGTGGAAGTTCCGGCAAAGAGTATCTGCGACACCGAGTGTCGCTGTCGTCGCGGCGTCCCAAATCCTGACTGCCGAGGCTTCTGTAGTTTTTCTAGCTGTAGGGCTACCAGCAGCAGAACAGGAGTCTGCCGCATCCGCCTGCATTGCTGTGTCACCGGCCAATATCGCGGCAGGTAACAGCACGCGACACTTCCGTGACGTGGTCAGGCGGAATTTTGAGGGACGACTTTTGAGGGTATGGCTATCATTTGAGCCCGTTCTCGTTTCGTCCTTCTCATTTGACTCTCCTCAAAACAACCATTTTAAAATAAAACCTTCTTGCTTTGACCTGTCGTATTTGCCCCTTTCCCCTTTCGTCTTCCGCATTTCAATCCTCTTCATTTGAGCCCGTTCTCGTTTCGCCCTTCTCCACTTGGCCCTTCTCAAAACAACCATTCTCAAAAACATCTCGCTTTGACCCGTCCCGTTTGACTCTTTCCACTCCAAGTTCGCTTTTTTTTTTTCCGGGTTATATTCATAAATACATAGATATTTTGTGTGTGCGTGTGTGCCACGCCATCGGTTTACTCTCTGCTAAGGATTTTAGCAGTGCGTCGAGGTCGCCGAGAACAGCTACTGGCTGACAGGAAAACAGACCAACTATACTTATCGCAGCCGGGTGATGGACAAGAAGGTCCCGGTCAAACTTTTCCCAAGCGCGAACCCGAACAAAATGGTCCCAAGTGATTCGTTGACACTTTCGGTGCTCTTTGAAGTTTTAGTGAACTGCTACTCGGAAACTGTATTCAACACATGCGTAATTATCGGGTGTCTACGAGAAATCCCAACCCTGTTTTTCGGACCGCGAAAATGGACTAGACTTCGCGGAGACCTCAAACTTCTTCACAACGCAGCTCAGCCGTTCGAGCAAGATGCCAAAGTTCCAGCACCAACCGTAATCTTATTGAAAAGGTAAAAGTGATTTTCTGAAATTTTTATAAAAAAAACAAGCCCGTTTTTTTTTTTTTTTTTTTGTTTTTTTTTTTTGTTTCTGGCGCCATAGAGCGCCATATATTTGAAAGCTCCGACGGCCGGCCACTTTCTTCATTGAATTTGTCAGAAAATCGCTTATAACTTTTGAAAAAGATAACGGATGGTGCTGAAACTTTGGCATCTTGCTCGAACGGCTCGGGCAACATTCTGACGGAGTTTGAGCTCTCCAAGGAGCCTAGTTTATTTTTGTGGTGCGAAAAACAGGGTTCGGATTTCTCGCAGACACTCGGTATATTATAGTATATAGTTAGGGTTCGGAGTTTTCGGTTTAAACCGATAAAAAAAACGATAAAAGTACGCCGAATTCATTTTCGGAAATTCGGTTTTAACCGAAAAAGGTCAGTTTTCATGTTCGGCATTTTCGATTTAAACCGATAAAAGTACGTCGAATCCATTTTCTAAAATTCAGTTTTAACCGCAAACGCTCACTTTGACCTTCCATTCGTACCGCAGAGCCGTGGCGGAAAAGTGGAACGACAGTGTCTATCGAAACGTGTCCGAATGTATGGGATACACGGATGCCATCACGACGTTTTTGTTTAATGTGCACATCATCGAACGGAACATGAAGTCCGAAATATCCCATGACTTCGCCATGTACGGGCGTGT